CAATTCTCCTGCCTCAGCCTCCTGGGTAGCTGGGATTACAGGCATACGCCACCATGCCCAGCTAATTTTTTGTATTTTAGTAGAGACGGGGTTTCACCAGGTTGACCAGGATGGTCTCGATTTCTTGACCTCGTGATCCACCCGCCTCGGCCTCCCAAAGTGCTGGGATTACAGGCTTGAGCCACCGCGCCCGGCCTCTTTCCTTTTTTTTGAGACAGGATCTTGCTCTGCTGTCCAAGCAGGAGTGCAGTGGTACGATCAGGGCCCCCTATAGCCTTGACCTCCCAGGCTCAAGTGATCCTCCCCACTCAGCCTCCCAAGTAGCTGGAACCACAGCTACCATACCTGGCTAACTTTTCTTTTTTCTCAGTAGAGATGGAGGTCTCACTATGCTGCACAGGCTGGTCTTGATCTCCTGATCTCAAGTAATCCTCCTGCCTTGGCACCCCAAAGTGCTGGGATTGCAGGCGCGAGCCACTGTGTTTAGCCCACATTTCTCTTTCAATCTTATATCCTTTATAAGTAACACAGAGACTTCTGTTCCCTCAAAATCTGTCCTTCCCTTCTTCCATAGTAGCTGGCACATGGCTTCCCAGCTTTCCTTACAGCTAGTGTGGCTTACACCCAAATTCTCTCCGATAGAATGTGTGTAGAAATGATGTGTGCCACTTTCAAGTTTGACCCACAAAGACTCCATATATTCTACTCCATGCTTTTTCCTCCTTTATAGGGGCTAGATTGTTGATGACGACTAACCAAAGAGATTCCAGAAACCGTGAGTTGAAGACAGAGGAACTGCCGCCAGCCTGGGAGCCAGAATGACTGTGTGAAGCAGGGTCCCCACCCAAACTTTCCCTCCGAAGCACCTCCTTCACATTTTTACATAAGACACAGCTATTGTGTGAACCACCATGCTTTGAGTTTATTTGTTAGAGCAGGTTAGCCTACTTAATTAATACAAAGTCCTTTTAAAATACAGACGTAAAGCTTTTGACATTTAAAGAAGTATTTCAACAGGTCTGCAAAAATAAAGACCTAAATAAAGAGAATATGTTAATCCCACCCCACAATCTCCATGCCTTCTACTCTCCAATGTATGTCGCACTAGGTGAGGGTTTACCCTCCTCAGACACATCATCCTGTCCTGCTAATCTCGCCCTACAAACTTTTAATGGCTACCCATCCCCACAGAAAAAAACGACATATATATTTATAAGTATTCAGTCAGCCAGTAGGTATCGAACACCCCGTATGGGTTATATATCCTATTAGTAAAAGGGACATTGTAGTGAACAAAACCAACGTTGCCCCTGCCCCCAAGGGAAACAATCAGGGTAGGGAACAGACAACTACATACAGTGAAGTAAATATTTGCTCTAACGATAGAGCACAAACTGCCTGGCAGCACCCAGCACGCCAACAAATCTACCCCTCCCAGTCCAGACTCCTCAGCACAGCATGCAAAACCTACAGGATCACCCGGGTGTGATGGCTCATGCCTGTAATCCCAGCACTTTGGGAGGCCAAGGTGAGCAGATCACCTAAGGTCAGGAGTTCAGGACCAGCTTGGCCAACATGGTGAAACCCCATCTCTACTAAAAATAGAAAAAATTAGCCAGGCGTGGTAGCACACGCCTGTAATCCCAGCTACTCGGGAGGCTGAGGCAGGAGAATCGATTGAACCCAGGAGGTGGAGATTGCAGTGAGCCGAGATCTCAGCATTGCACTCCAGCCTGCTCAACAAGGGTGGAAATTCCATCTCCAAAAAAAAAAAAAAACCCCACAGGATATACCAAACCCACCTTTCTAGACCCATTATTTCCTCCTCCCCCAAATAATTGTACCCCCATTATTTCCTTGTTCCCCCAGCTCCAGCTACCTGGAACTTATGTGCCATTTCTGAATGAGCCATGCACTTTCACTCATCCACTCTTCAGGCTTTTCCCCAGAGCCTGGAATGCTCTTCTATCCTTTCTTTCAAAATTCTAATTATCCTCAAGGCTCAGATCAAATGTCACCTCTTCAGCAAAAGCAGCCCCAACCCCCAAGTCAAAATTAATCGTCCCCTCCCTTGTTTGAGAGAATAAAACAGCTAACCACAGGACTGAATGAAATACGTCAGGTATTTCATTCAGTCCTGTGGTTAGCTGTTTTACTCTGTCCACTCACGCCTGCCAGCCGCTCAGGGAGATGTGTGTCCTGGTCATTTGTCTGGGACCCCCAGCATTGAACACATAGTTACACACAGAGTGGCCACTTAAGAAATGCCACATTGAGTGGACAGGCAAGACAAGTCAGACACAGGCAATGGATGTGAAACCTGCTCTATGCGGCGGGGTGGGTTCTGGTGTGATCACAGTAGGTAGGCTTAGGAAGGCTTCATAGAGAAAATGAGTTTTAGGGGGAAAAGGAAATATTCAGACACAAGCAAAAGGTGAGAAGTAGAAGAGGACAGAAGGTTTAATATAGTCTCCATAAAGGAGAGCCTACAGGTTAGTTGGAATGAAGTGTCTGGGCCAGAGAAGACCAACACAAGAGGCAACATCTCCTTGGAGGAAAGTCATGAGGACCCAGTAAGAACAGGTGGGAGCCTCAGAAATGATCCTTTAGGAAAAGGATGAGCTTAAATGGGAAGCTGGAAGAAATAATCAACCAAGAAGACACCAACTGTGTGGGAAACCATCGGGACCTGGGCCAAGACAGTAGCCGTAGAAACAGGAAGGAAAGGAAGAAGCTGGAGTCTGTGCTATGGGGAAAGCCAAGAATTGAGAAACTATATGAATGTGGAGATCAAAAAGAGCAGTGATACCAAGATTATACCCAGGTCACACCCCAGGAGGACAGGTGATCTTGCTGATCAACGTATTACATTTCAGGGATCAGTACAGTGCTAGAGTAGTGTAACACAGAGACCTTCCCAGAGGTCAGGCTGAAGCTACACCGAGCGAGATTCTGTGGCAGCAGTTATCAGGAGAGTCATCAAAGGGGCATAGGACTGTCAGGTGAAACGGCACTGGCTGGTGACACCACAGAAATTCCCTGTGGAGTTCACAGGAGGTCTCCAACCAGGACAGGATATGTTGGGGTACGATCAAGATTTCCCCAAGTTGTGCTTCCCCCACTTCTATTTTGCTTTTGTCAGTCTCTCTTTGCCCCCTCCCTCTTCCCCCCTTATTATGATTACTCAAGGGCATTGTTTTCAAAGTTCTACCTCATTCCACCCTTCTAACTGGTACCCAGGTTGTTCAGAGAACTGCACAACTCTAGGGGGAGTCATTCACATAGGCTACAAAGTGAACAGCAGCTCCTGAAGCTGCACAGTGCACAATGTGTGCAAACCTAGGCCACGGCCCTACTTGACCCAGACACAAAGTCAATTAATGTGTGTGGACTATCACAGCAGCGTGCCACAAACATAGGGTCCCAGAGTGAAAAGTAAAGATTAAAAGCATTACCACCGGGTGTGGTGGAGCATGCCGGGAATCCCAGCGCTTCGGGAGGCTGAGGTGGGAGCATCACTTGAGCCCAGGAGTTTGAGGCTTCAGTGAGCTGTGGAGTGCACCCAGACTGGGTGGCAGAGTGAGACCTTGTTTCAAAGATAAAAGCAAAGCACCAGAATCAGGAACGACAGAAGAGATGCCATAAAACTAACTGGAAGATATGGAAGCTCTCTGCACACTGGCTGAAGCTGAAGGCAACGTGGCTGGACGAGCTCTCTTAGGGAGAGTTCAGAAAATCCCTTCAAGGTGAAGGAAGAAAACACAGTAGCTAGCAAGGCTGGTTCACCAGCAGCAGGAGTCAAGGGGGTTAGAGTAGTGTGGGCCCCAGGTGTTCCCAGCAGGGGAGTGGCTGTAGAAGGCCTCCTCTGGGGCCCTCTGGCCATAAGTGCAGAGGAGTCATTTGACCTGTGTGCAGCTGGGACCTGGATGGGACGGACACCGCACAGCACGCGCTCTGTAACAGGCTCAGATCTGCCTTCTCTAGGGCCTTGGAAGAGAACCCCAGGCCAGGTCACAGGAATCATCTCGTCCTGGTTGACACTGACCACAAGGATCCAAGAATACCAAAGCGTTTAAGGGTCAGCCCTGGGGTACCATGGTGGGTACTTAATAAACATATTTCCGTAGCTGGCTAGGATCACCATGTGGATCTACGTGAAGATGGTGTCTGTGTATGGAGTGAATGGAAAATGGAGAGGGAAAAAACCCACAAAAGATTCCTTGGGTGGGGGGAGGGCACTGGGCCAAAACCTCACAGGGCACCGAGGGTTTCCGGAGGGTGGAAGACGAGGGGACAGTAAGGGAGGAAAAGTAACAGGTAGAAAAAGTTGGAGAAGCCAGGCTCTTAGGTCTTTGTGTATAAATATGCATCTAGGCAGCTTCAAGAAAAGCTAAAAGAAAAGACTGAGGCACAAGACCCAGCCACGAGGAAAATGACGGCAGGGCTCGCACGCCGATTTCCATTGTAACGCTCGGGGCCACGCTGTGACCTTCGTGGAAGGAAGTTGGAGGATTCTCTCGCTTCCCTGGAAAAGCAACTCCGCGCGGGCTCGGGGAAGAGCGGCGCGGCCGGCGGCGGCTATGGCGGGGCAGATCCCGGCTCACATTTCCGCTCCGGAGCCGGGGACCCGCGCCGGGACCGCAGCACCTTCCGGGCCGGGAGTTCAAGGTGAGCCGGGCTCCGGGCGGCCAACAGGTAGGGAGGGCCGGGGAAAGCCGGCCCGGGGCCACTCCCCCCGGCACATGCGGGGGGCGAGGCTCGGCCTGGCGGAGCGACCACTTGCACCCTGTGCGCGGGGCCCGGGCGGATTCGCGCCAGGCTCCGGGCGGCCCCACGGCCGCTCCCCTCCGGGCCGAGCCGCCCGCGCTCCCCGGCCGGGTTTCCCGCGAGCAGCCCGGGCACCCTCCGCGCCCCAGGCCGCGTGCTGCAGCCGCGCCCCGCCGAGCCCCCCGGGGCCCCGCCAGTCCCCCTGCGCCCTCCCGAGCCCCGCGCACACTCACCCAGCCACAGGAGCGCCAGCAGCAGCGGCCTCGGCGCCAGGCGCCCCATGCTCGCCCGGCGGGAGCGACTCTCCCCCTCCTCCTCCTTCCCCGCCGCCTCTCCTCCTCCTCCTCCTCCAGCTCCGGCTGCTCCAGAGTCGGCGCTCCTCCGCCTGGGCCGCGCGCCTGCTCCGCTCTCCCCGCGAGCCGATCAATCCCAGCGCTGGGGCGTACGTGCGCCCCTGGCTCCGCTCGCTCCCTCCCGCCTCCTCCCCTCCCTCCTCCAGCCGGCCGGGCCCTGGAGCCGGCCCCGCCGCTCCGAGTGTGCAGCCCCGACCGCTTCCCGAAAGCAGAAGGGAAGAACCGCAGCGCCCGCCCGCCCGCGCCTCCCATCCGGCGCTTTGCCAGCAACAAACACAAACTTTCCCAAGCCCCTCCCCGCTCCAGGTAACGGAGACAGGGCCGGGGCCACCCGCTTAAAGGCGAGGAGGCGTCGGAGCCCACCCTGCCCTCCCCTCCGGGCCCCCACCCCACGAGAAACTTTCCTCCGACCTTTAAAAGTTGGCCTGTGAAAGACTTGTCTGGAAATCCCATCGCTTTAGCCCTATCCCGGGACACCCCCGTTCCATCACTCTGCAGTCACCCACGCGTGTCTAGTGTGTCCTCAGCCAACTCCCCGTTGGTTCAGCCTGTGGTCCTGAGCTAAGCACCCCACCAACCAGCCACTTCGCCTTTGCCAAAAATTATCCAGATAGGAGTGAAGGAGCTGAAAGGACGTTCAAAGGCCACGGATTCCAACCTCTGTCATACAGAGGCCTTAAGTGTTTTGGTGAGGTGCAGGAAGGGGCGAGATCCGAACCCTGCTCTCTTGACTCTGCCCACACCCCGGTGAGTGTGCCTGCCTCCTCCTTGCCCAGCTCCCTCCCTCTCCTCGGCGCCTGTGGCCCTGATTGGAACAACTCCCCACAAAGACACCCATTTAAAACAACGAACACACCAACAAAACCCAAGTGTATTAATAGCTGTACTAGTTCGTATACAATGTGCTCTTAAGATTTCATATTTATTGCTCTAAGTGGACACAACTGGTTGCCAATAAAGATTCTCCCCCCCCCAACATTTTGTGCTTTTGATTTGATTACAAAAGGCCCCACGGTATTGAGAGAAATGGAGCATTCCTTGCTTAAACTTAGCAAGCATGACTCAAACAGGCAAGGAGCAGCACTGGTGCCCACTGCCCTCACCAGGCTTTCATTCACACCTGCAAAGCGGACCACAGATGCTCCTGCGGAAACTGCCCACACTGGGGAAGAACGCTGCTTTTACTCTTAATGCGTTTGTCTTTCAACCAACAAGTGTTTCTTATTTCCACTATCAAATAGGTGATTAGTCAGGTATGAACCCTTGGGAAAGAGGCTTAGAAATTCATTCCTGGTGGTGCGACGTTATTGTACTTAATACCACTGGATGGTACACTTAGAAATGTTTAAAACAGCCAGGCATTGTAACTGGTATCTGTAATGCCAGCTACGCAGAAGGCTGAGGTGGGGTGGGGGGCGGGGGCAGTGTTGCTTGAGGCTAGGAGTTTTTGTTTTGTTTTCTTTCTGTCTTTAGTTTTTGAGACAGGGTCTCGATCTGTCACCCAGGCTGGAGTGCAGTGGACCAGCCCTCAGGCAGGACCCTGCTTACCCCAAACCCAACAGCGATCTTCCCACCTCTGTCTCTCAAGTAGCTGGGACCACAGGTGTGTGCCACCACATGCCAGCTAATTGTTTTTATTTTTTATTTTTCGTAGAGATTGGAGTCTCCCTATGTTGCCCAGGTGGGTCTCGAACTCCCAGGCTCAAATGATTCTCCCCACCTCGGCTTCCTAAAGCACTGGACTGGGATTATAGGTCTGAGCCACTGAGCGGGCACTTTTTCTTTTCTTTCTTTCTTTTTCTTTTTTTTTTTTTTTGGCTAGAAGTTTGAGAACACTTGGGCAACATAGTGAGACACTGTCTCTAAAAAAATTTTTAAAGTTAAAATGGTACATTTTGTGTTATTTACATTTTACACAATAATTTTTAATTTATTTCTGCCACCAAGCCTTTCCTGGTTCTGTTCATACACACGATAATTCCTTTCTCTGCCCCATCCCAATTCTTCCCTAGAATTTCGCAGGGAAGTTTTCCAGTTTCATTCAGTCAACCTTGAATGCCACCCTAACGTTAGGCCTTGGAAGACAGCGGAGCTTCAGAGAAGTTTGAGGCCTGGCACCTCCGGAAACTCAGATTTCAGCTCATCCTCTATCTTTCCTTTACCACGCGGAACACCTAATGTCTGAACCACACATTGTGGCACTTAGTCACATTCAGTTTAGCAAAACATGTACCCTGCCCCCGTGTCTGTCTAATAATGCATGGGCCTCAGAGGCTGTCACATTTTCGCCTTGTAGCCCACCTTATGGCAGAGTAGATGTTTTTTGTTTTGTCCTGCTTTGTTTTGTTTTAAGAGACAGGGTTTCACCATGCTCGCCAGGATGGTCTCAATCTCCTGACCTCGTGATCCACCCACCTCGGCCTTCCAAAGTGCTGGGATTACAGGTGTGAGCCACCGCAGCCGGCCTGGCAGAGTAGACGTTTTAACAACTCTTTTGTTTAATAAGCAATGCATGTCAGGGACTGTCCCTAGCCCATGGTAGGTCCTAATGTATATTTATAGAGGGAATTAATGGCAGACATTGGGCTGGATCCTGCAAGTACAGGTATGAATCAGAAGTTCCTGCTCTCGAGGAGCCTACAGCTTGTGCATTGTGTAGCATGTACAAGGTAGAGTCATGACACCACAACGGAGTGGTCAGTGCAGTAGGAGGCTGTCAGAGAAAGCTTCCCAGATGGGATGACTATGCAATGGGTCTTGAAAAATTGGTAGGTCTTTAGCTGTGGAGTATAGGGATAAGCTCACAATAGATGTTCTGTATTTAATGTGATAGAGATTCTTCTCATCTCACCCACCCCCAGGTGTTATTAAATTAATGGTGCATCTTACCATCATGGAAATAACAGTAGTTAACAGTTGAAATGATGACAATAAATAAACTTGTCTAGGTAAGGCAGGTAGGATGAAGACTGAAGTGGATAGCCTGCTGGTGGCCGGCAGTTACCTGTCATGGGAGCCAACCTAAAGAGCCATTTTTGTAACAAAAAATAAGCATAAGTTAATAATTCTAGACTGTTGGTTATCCACCACACCCTTTGCACATCGCTGACTACCAATGGATAAAGGAAGAAGCACTCACAACAGACTGGCACGATTTGTTAATTCATGACTCTGGAATCTGATGATACTTTTATTATGAAAGACATTTATTTGCCAGAGTGAGTAACCTATACAGGTATAGGTTTTTGCCCCAACTAATTGTTCTCCTGTCTTAGTCTATAGGCTTGCCTGGGGCAGGAAGACTCACTCTCCAGCAATTCTAATTGATTCACTCCCATCCCCAAGGAGGCTATGACGTGGGTTGCTTTTATCCAGTCATAGTGCCCTCAGGGGCACTGGTCACAGCAGTCCGACATTACAATCCTTTGGTTACACATGTCTTTCTGTAGGTGATACCCCTAAATCCTCACAAAAGTCCTCATACTATTATGCCAAACAAGTTTCCCTGCCGAGACCAGGCAAACACATCATCATATTGTTTAACTTTGTGAATGAAAATGTTGAAAGGTTCCCTGTGAATGAAATTGCCAATTGTTCTAATATTCACCTAGACTTGGGGTTGTTGGCCCTGCCCCGCTCCGGCGCCTGTATACACAGTCTCCAAAGGACCCTGATCCCTACCTCACTTCAGCAGGGGCTTAGGGGAAGGAGTATGTTCCATGGCAAGGTTTCATCCCACTAATCACTTTCACTTACCATCTTCCTTATTCTGTGTCCAGGTGTATATTTCCCAAGTTAAAGTTAAAGAGGGATTGCTAAGCAAAAAAAAAAAATTAGGATTTAATTATAGGATTAGAGAATGAAATTAAAAGTTAAAAAGGGAGGGGTGGAGAGAGGAGGCCTTCATTTCCCCATGAGCGAGATTCCTGCAATACTGCTGAGGTTACAGGGGAAGCTGTAGAATGCTCATCCGACAAGTTTCAAAACAGCAAGGGACCCCATCTGTTTGGTGTGGGCTAAGCAGGGTCCCGCCTGTGGGCTGGTCCTGTTCCTTCACCACCCAACTATCAATCCTCCTAGTCTTTTCTTCAGCCCTAAAAGACTGACATGGGAGATGGTGGAGAAAGTGTTCTTAAATGACTTAGAACTGTTCCAGATTCCACCTCTGCCAGACCAAAGGTGCCTCCCTGGGCACCCACCCCACATAGCATCACTCCTGCAGGAACACTGGGGTGAAGAAGTACCAGGAAAAAATAAGGAAATGGATGGAGGTTAAGGCTTTTACAATAAAGCCTCTCCCCAAGACTGAGATGTTTACTGTGTTACGAGCAGACAAGGCCCTGGCCCTGGAGAAGCTTATCATCTAATTGAATGCATGAAAACCCTGAAATACAGTGAAGGATGGGCAGGAGATGGAAACCACAACAGCATAGGGAATGGAAAGAAAGGTAAATAGGTAAGAGAGGCACAAGTCATTATGTGTTACATTCTGCAAATATGCCATCATCTGGGCTGGAAGTATCTCCTCAAATAAATAGAGACTGCAGCCCATTGTGAAAAAGAGGGGCTAACACATTAGAAATGGCTGGAGGCGCTGTGGGGTGTTGGAGTAAGTTTTTTACCTAAGGTTAGGGCTGCCAAGTGGGGTGATACCCAAAGATGCCCCCATCAAGCCAACATTGTGCCCTGTCACTGAGCTGCTATGCCCAGGAGAGGCTTTATCCCCTCACTGGAAGGGAGTTTACCCCAGTCTTCACACATACATTGGGAGGGGAGTCAGGAAGAGGAGGAGGAAGATGTCCTCTTCCTTTCACCATTTCCCCACTTGCCTTTCTCATCCCACGTGAACTGCACTTCCGGGTTCAACTAGAATATGATCTTAATTTCTAGGCACTATATATATATATATATATATTTTTTTTTTTTTTAAGATGGGGTTTTACCATGTTGGTCAGGCTGGTCTTGAACTCCCAACCTCAGGTGATCCACCCACCTTGGCCTCCAAAGGGCTTGGATTACAGGAGTGAGCCACCACGCCCGGCCCAAGGAACTATATTTTAAAAACAACATTTACAAATGAAAATGCATCAAGAGTACAGAGAGTTGCTGGCTAAAATACAGAATGCCCAGTACAATTGGAATTTCAGATAAATAAGAAATACATTTTTAGTATAAGTATGTCCCAAATATTACATGGAGCATATTTATACTA